GAGAGCCTGAGACATCTGGAAAGCTAGAGAGAGACACAGAGTGACAAAAGGAAAGGAGAGAAGGAGACAGCTAGAATGCTAGAGAGAGACAGTTATACAAGGAAAGGAAAGCCCGAGACAGCTGGAAAGCTAGAGTGTGACAAAAGGAAAGGAGACCATGAGACAGCTAGAGTGCTAGAGAGTGACAGGGAAAGGAGAGCCTTAGAAAGCTAGAGAGAGATGGAGAATGACATAAGGAAAGGAGAGCCGGAGAAAGATAGACAGTGACACAAGGAAAGGAGAGCCTGACACAGGTAGAAAATTACAGAGAGTGACGCAAGGAAAGGAGAGTCAGAGACAGCTGGAAAACTATAGAGAGACAGATAGGAAGTGAGACATACAGAAAGAAGTAGAGCCAGGAAAAGACGGCCTCATATGTGTGCAGGGAGAGGTGAGGTACAGTATTTCAGTCACCTTGATCCTCTGTGCCACTGCTGCAGGCTGGAACCCGGCTTTTTGGGTGCCTTAGTTAAAGGGGGTCCTGGCCACCTTAATAGTATTTTTAACATTATAGGGTCAGGAAAACACATTTGTATTCCTTACCCTTTGGTGTTCCTTTACCTGTTTAACATTTAATTTTGCCCTCTGGCGCTTGACATTGATTTAATTTCTCTTTTTTTCACAGTCAATGCAATGAAGTGAACATTTGTTTTGTGAATTTGGCTAGTTCAAATAGGTTTTCCAACAGCAACCAGTGAAGTAACTTTTGTTGTTTCTTTAATATATTTTATTAGTTTTGCTCACATTCTGACTGTGTAGTCCATCTTTTGTTGTTGTTGTAGCTGTAGTCCATCTTTTGTTGTTGTTGTTGTTGTTTTTTTTACTAGCAGTAGTTTTAACCCCTTAAGGACCGACCTGTTTTTGCGATGTTGTACGTTAAGGACCAGATCGGTTTTAACACTTTTGTGGTGTTTGTGTTTAGCTGTAATTTTCCGCTCTCTCATTTACGGTTCCCATACAAATTATATATTGTTTTTTTCAGGACTTTCTTTACATACCATTATTTGTATCATGTCATTTATTATTTTACTTTAAAAAAAATAATAATAAAATGGTGAAAATTTAAAAAAAAAAACATGTTTTTGGACATTTACTTGAAAAAGCAGGACCCAGAACATGTACACAATACATAAGGAAAACATGAACGGGACATGGACATGACAGCACTGTACATGAACTGGGAATACAAGACAAAGTAAAACAAGACAAGAAATACAAGGCAAAACAAGGAGACATAACTAAGTACTAATATGTGCAATAAACATTGGAGATTTAGACATACATAAATGGCCAAGATGTATGCAGCCCACCACTGCGTCAAAGTACTCCAATTATGGTGGTTCCTAACTGCCTAGATATGCATGACTAAATAAACAATAATAAAACACACACAACACTTACCTGCAAAGAAAGGGGCAGAGGACATGAAGCCACTGCCTGCAGGAACCAACTAAAACAAAAGGATTAATGGCAAAGGAACGGGCGTGGCAACAAAAAAATAAACATTTAAAGGAATCCAATAGACTGGGAATTCCAGGAACGGAATAAAGGAATGAACCCAGAGAACCCAGCATAAAGAAAACCAGACATAGAATAGAAAACCAGAAAAACCAAGACAAACTGAACAAGAATTGTAAAAAGAGTACTGGATACCAGAAGCGATCCGCAGCCAGGAACAGGATGTGACAGATACACACACTGACACACATACAGCTGCACAGACACACTGATACACACACTGACTAGTATACAAATGTACAGACACACTGGTGCAAACACTGCTACCTATGCAGATACACAGATGGCAACACTGATATGCATACAGTTGAACAGACACACTGATAAACACTGCCACACATGCAGATACACACAGAGGTGTAACTAGAAACCACAGGGCCCGGTGCAAAAATTGCCCTGGGCCGCCCCATACATCTATCTGCTACCCCACACGTCCTCGCCCCCCACACATGTAGACAAGCAGATACAAATGCAGACACATACATACAGACACACAGAGATCCATGCATACAGACACATGTAGAGACACATACACTCATAAACTCACAGACACACACTCACAGACAAACACATACACTTACAGACACACACTCAGACACATACACATTCAGACACATACATACTCTTACAGACACACGCACATACACTCACAGAGAAACACATACACACACTCAAACACACACATACACATTCACACACACATTCACTTACAGACACACACACTGAGACACATATACACGTACACACACTCAGACACACAAATACCCTTACAGACACACATACAGACAATCACAGACAAACACATACACACATTCAGGCACCCTCACAGAGACACACATACATTTTCAGACACACACACATACAGTCACAAACAAACACATACACACACTCAGACACACACACATACATTTACAGACACCCACACATACACACACTGAGACACATACACTTACAAACACACACACATAGACTCAGACACACTCTGGCACACACATGCACACTTACAGATACACACAAATTATTAATAATTAATGTCCACCCAGCCTGGGGAGCTGGCGTGGACCTGTCCCTGGGGTTCAGTGCGGCGGGCGGCACAGTTCCTGTCACACACGGCATGGGGGGGGGGTCCATGACAGGGGGAACACAGAGGGGGCGGCATATAGGTGGCCCACGGTCGCAGGGGTCGTGGTTGCAGCCGGGCCCCCTGCAGTGAGGGGCCCGGTCGCAGCCGCGACCCCTGCAACCTTGGTAGGTACGCCACTGAATACACAGATACAAACACTGCCACATATACACATACATATGTACAGACACACAGATGCAAACACTGCTACACATGTAGATAGACAGATACAGACATACAGACACACACACACTGACACACAGGCAGAAACATAGACACACAGATACAATTACTGAGACACATACATATACACATACTGACATGCATGCAAATAAACAGACACAAATACACAGATACACACATAGATAAACAGGCATACAGATAAACACACATACAGATACAGACACATTAATATTCACACGATACAATGACACACACAGATACCAGGGCTGGCCCAAGACATTTTGCTGCCTGGGTCCAAGGATGAAAACCACGCCCACATTCATGATGTTGTATTATGATAATTAAAACCAAAATGAAATATATCATGATTAGATAAATACATTCCAGTAACATATTTAGATCAATGCACACTAAACTGAACATCACAGCATATACACTTCTGCAGTGGTATTAAAGTATTGGCTCTATCAAAAAAAGTCCACATGAAAGTTGCCCACGGAAAAAAAAACACTGTCATAAATGTCCACCAGAAAAATGCCTACATGAAATATTGCCCACACTGAAAATGCTCATAATGAAAAATGCCCACAAAGAAAAATACACATGCAGAATAAGGCGTTTCGGTGCTGTGATGCACCTTCGTCAGGGGCTGAATGGGAGAACCATTCAGCCCCTGACGAAGGTGCATCACAGCACCGAAACGCGCGTCGGGTTGAAGGAGGTTTTTCT